CCCTCCACACACAGAGTAAACAGGGATGGGCAACTTGGACATTGGATACCCAAAATGGGGGGCGGGGGGCTACAAAGGCAAGAAGTGACTGGCTTACAAGCTTTCAAGAGGGAACCTAGAACCAGAGAGCCTGGAGGAAGGATAGAATCTCCAGCGTGTAGTATTCAATCGGACTAGCTGGGGCTGAGGCAATGAAATGCAAACAGTTCTCTTGTGATGCAATAGTGAATAATTGTTATCAGGACTGATTGTGAGGGTTGGAAATGTAAAGGAAGACGTTTTATAGCAAGGAGGAGAGTGATTAACTTTTCAGTCTAGGAGCGTAAGTCCCTAGGACCATCAAGGGAGAAGAGCAGAGAGCAGGACCCTACCCAGAGAAGCAGTGATGCCTGAAATGGAGCCAGAGATGATAACGTGGAGCAATGGAGCAGCTGGAGACTTCAGATCCAGAGAGGGAGAGCGACTGTGTGCTGATGACCTGGGGGGCATGGGGAAGGATTGCATGGAGGGGATTGTAACCATGGCAATGAGACTATACAATAGAATGAATGTAAAACCAATGTTCTCCCATGTAAACTATCACATAATTCACAATAAAACATTAAAAAAACAAAAATTCAACAGGTGCCATCGTAATTATCTAAAAGTTAATTTTTAAAATACGGTCTGTAAACCGGTTGTACAGAGGAGCCACTTGGCTAGTAACGCAAGAGTTTTCATTTTCACATGCTACCCAAGAAGCCCTGGTGGAGCTATGAACTAGGTTCCAGTAAAGCTGTAGTCTCGAGAACACTCTGTAGGGCCTGAATCCACTTGATGGGTTATTTCGGTTTTTAATTTGTTGAGGGAAGAGAGGCAGGGCTGGGTCAGAGGTCACTCCAGTCCTCGGGGCACAGCCCTTGCCACCTGCTTCTGAGGACTACAGCGCCCATCGAGAGGGACATAACTGCGCATGCGACCTGATCACGTACATTTCCCAGCGGGCCGAGCGCTTACGCTGACGCGCGCGTGCGCCCTCCCGTCTTTCCCGATTCTCGCTTGAGTTTGACCTACAACCGCCGGGGAGAAGATGGCTGGCCCAGCAGTGACCAGGCTCTCCCAGGTGAGAGTACAGAGGTCCTCAAGCTAGCGAGAAGATGGGGGGATCTGTACCAAACCCCTAGCGCCGGAGTGCGAAGGCACGACTTAGCTGCCATTAAAGGTCATGAGACCCGGCGATAATGAGCGACTCCGGCGTCCCCGCTTTCCCCCGGTACACCCGCGGGGCGGTGGGTGCGGGGCTGCGCTTGCCGTGACCTCGGCGCCCTCGGAGCACTCCCGGGAGCAGCTGGCTTGAGGACCGCGGAAGAGGGTGTGGGGCTTCCCCGGATTCCGAAGAAATACCATGGCCCACCTTCAAAACAATCGTTTTCATTTGTTTTGTGATAAAGTTGTTGTCAGGGGTAGCTAGCAGTGCACCTTTCGCGTTTTTATAAAGACAGAAAAGTGTTCGTGACTCGTCCTTGGCTACTCAGCCATTATGGAAATAATCCCCAGAGAAGATCGAGTTTGGGGACCGGGTGTGCTTTCGCCACTACGTCGCACCATCATATCTATCCTGACAGATAGCATCGTTTTCCCATAGTGCTTAAAAATTAAGACTTTTAATCCTCAGCCAGTTTTGATTTAATACACTCCAGAGCTGGGAATATTTGAAGGTGACATATGCCCTTGCAGGTGCTAATTTTTAAACTGTGGGTTCCAATTGTCCCTTAATAGATGTTCTACCATCTTTCAGACCTAATGTCAGTTTTCAGATCAAACTCACATTTGCTGCTGTACTCAGTTTGTGTTTGGATCTGTAAGAAGGTACACTTATTGCAAATTAAAACTGGAATCCTCACAGTTTTATGACAGTCCTGCTCAAGAGTGTGAGTCTATAAATACAAAAAAAAAAAAAAAAAAAAATACCTGGCTCTTTAAAAAGCTCATCATAGTTCGTGTTTTCTCTCTCAGACCTGTCCCCAGTAAACTAGGAATTTAGTGAGAAGGTGACTCCCCAAACAACTTGAGATCATTCTCACTAGAGAATTTTACTCCTAAATAATAGAGTCCTGCTGTGGCACCGTAGGATAAGCACCCGACAGCATCGAGTTTGGCTGTTCAAATCCACCAGCTGCTCCTTGGAAACCCTATACAGGGTCACTATGAGCTTGGACCAACTTGACAGCACTTAACAACTTAACAACAGCTACTAGAGAGTAGTTCCCCTCCCTATAATCAAGCCATAGTTTAATTTTCATTATTGGGTTAAATGTAGACATCCATCAAGTAATCTCATGTGATCTGCTTTCCTTTATTGTTTTGCAGGTGCGGGGCTTCAGTACATCTGTGGTCAGGCCGTTTGCCAAGCTTGTGAGGGTATGTTATTTTCTATTCTGTGATAGAAAAGAAGATAAAAGTGATCTAGCAAAAATACAGTTAGGGCGTGGACTTAGTGTCCACATACTGTGTACGCTTTTTCTTCATGATTTGTGGGTCTCAGCGTGTGATGAGGTGCATGGGATGGGCTCACACAGTAAAGAGTGCCCGCTTTGTGTATGACCTTTAAATATGGAAACTTAATTTGTTCTCATAACAAAGAGTTCCATTAAACTGAACTTTGATGGGAAGGCTCTATAAGGAGAAATATATAGTGTTAGATATTTCATAAACAACTGTTTCGTGGCTCTTTAGTTTAAAACTACCTTGTATAGTGAAGCCCTGGTGTAGCACTGTAGGATAAGCACTAGATTGCTAACAAAAAGGTCAGTGGTTCAGACCCACCAGCTGCGCCTTGGAAACCCTGTACAGGGTCTCTGTGAATAGGAACTTGTTTGACAGCACTTACCAACAACATCATCAGACTCTAAAACCTTGAACTTAATAGTTACTGAACCACTTCTCCCAGTTAATTGAATTATAACAAGATAGAACTGGACAGGACTTTAGACAGCACATTTTCTAAATCCCTCATTTTATAGATGAAGAATTAGAAGCTCGAAGATTGAGTGGCCTAGCCATGAAAGCATCCCTAATTTGTTTGAGATTGTCTTTCAGTATAACTCTTTGATAGCTATTTAAACTGTTTTGTGCTTTAAAAAAAGTACATTAAAAGCTATAAACATCTGACTCTCCTATTGATAATTCAATATTGTCTTAACTGGTTTTGTTTTTTCCTTTTCTCTTATGCTTGTTTAAAAGCCACCTGTTCAAATATATGGTATTGATGGTCGCTATGCTACTGCCCTTTTCTCTGCTGCATCTAAGCAGAATAAATTGGATCAAGTAGAAAAGGAGTTGGTGAAAGTAGCAGTAAGTAGTTTTCTTGTTCATTACATATTAAGTTGCTATGTTATATTTTTTCCTTTATCTGCTTGAGTATGTGTCCCTAATGAGGTATACCCTAGAGGGGGAGAGGAGGAAAAAACACTCTTTCAGCTATTTTTTGTGAACATGTAATACATGTTCACATAATAATCATAGCACCTTTTTTGCATCTGAAGTTCAGGGATTATGTCTCCAAATATAAAAAACTAGAGGATTACCTGTGTTTACACATGAAAATGTGGAATGATTTGAACCTTCATAAGGGCAAAAAAAATTATTTGTGCTAATATTTGCTAATTTAATTAATTAAATGTAAGCAAGTATGAATTATCTCTAGAGGGATATATGTATTTGTACTCTAAAATATATAAGAAAGCTTTTTTGGTACTTTTAGCAACTTCTGAAGGATCCGAAAGTGGCTCTTGCTATTCTGAATCCCCATGTCAAGCGTTCCATTAAAGTGAAAAGCATAAACGACATCGTAGCAAAAGAGAGATTGTCTTCCCTCACATCCAATCTGATCAGTAAGTACTATAACTTCTGCATTTGGAACCTCCTCAAGCTTTGCCATTCAAAATAATGGTCTTTGGATTAGAAGCATCCACATTATCTGTGCAGTTGTTAGAAATGAAGACTTTCAGCACTCACCAAACCTCCTAAACCAGAATTTTCATCTTAACCAGATCCTCAAATGGATTTTTTTACACAGTAAAGTTTGAGGAGCTGTGTCCAAAGGATGTAAGCGTGTCTTAACTGCCTACTCAGTAATTTCAACCCACGTTGTAAACCAGTGAGATTCATACCAAGAAATGGTTTGTGGCCAGTGGCCACCTTCTGATCCTAATAATTTTCGCATCCTTTGGGGTAGAGCAAACAGGAACATTTAGATTGGTTTTCAAATCCCCATAGCCAACTCAAAATACGAGTTCCAAAGATAATGTATTCATATCATGATCTTTGAATATAATGTGTATGTTTGAGGATTTGTAGCTAAACATTGGAATCTGTGACCAAATACAAAAATCACATTGCAGATACTAAATGTATATAGTACAGTTCTATGGTCTCTAGTTTAAATGCCTATCAGAGTAATTTTTTTTTTTTTTTTAAAAAAAGCTGGTGTGGTACTGTAGGATAAACACTGGACAGCTGGCCACAAAGTCAGCAGTTCAAGCCCATCAGCTGCTCCTCTGAAACGCTATACAGGGTTGCTCTGAGTTGTAACCAACTCAACGGCACTTAACAACAATAACATACTTTTAAAATAATAAGTTGTATACCTTCTCTCTTCACATTCTTAAAGGATATTTGTGGGGTAGTATAAGGGCTTGAAAGTGCCATGGGCTGCCAAAACAACCAACCAGTAGATCCGTTTTGGAAGAAGTGCAGCCAGAGTGCTCCTTGGAAGCCAAGATGGCCAAACTTCATCTCTCATACTTCGGACATATTGTCAGGAGAGACCAGTTACTGGAGAAGGATATTGTGTTTGGTAAGGTGGAGGGTCAGAGAAAAAGAGGAAGACCCCCAGCGAGATGGACTGGCAAAGGGGCTGCATCGATAGACTCAGGCATGGCAACAGTTGTGAGGTTGGCCCAGGACCGGGCAGTGTTTCGTTCTGCTGTGAATAAGGTTGCTATGAGTCGGTACCGACTCAGTGGCACCTTTACAACAATAATAAGGGCATAGGTCTAAGCCAGCTTTTAGATGAATATGTCTACTCAGAAGTGACTTGTTCAGGTGAAGTGCACATTACTGAGAGAACTTCATTTCCCCAGATTTACTTGCTGAAAATGGTCGCTTGAACAACACCCCAGGCGTCATTTCTGCCTTTTCAACCATCATGAGTGTCCACCGTGGAGAAGTCCCTTGCACAGTTACCACTGCAACTGTAAGTATGGGTTTGCTGCTGTGTTTGCCTGGACATTATATGTGACACATTGTGTCAAAGTGGGGAGTTAGTGGGGGGAGGATAGGTTACCCAGTTAGGAAATTAGGAAAAGAGACTTGAGAGGTTTGTTTCATTTTTATACCAACTTTGTGAACCCCTGCCGGAAGGTACATTATATACTATATACTAAGACAAATATTTCACTAACCCACCGCTCTCAAGTTGGTAACAGCCCCACATGGCAGAGTACAATTGTTCTGTAGAGTTTCCAAGACTAAATCTTCCATAGCAGATGGCTTCATCTTTCTCCCTCAGAGTGACTGATGGGTTTGAAATGCTGACCTTGCAGTTACCAACCCAGTACTCAACCTGCTGTGCCACCAGGACTCCTTAAACATTTAACTGTTGTTGTTGCTAAGTACTGTGGAGTCGGTTCCGACTCATAGTGACCTTGCACAGGGTTTCTGAGGCTGCAAATCTTTACAGGAGCAGAAAGCCTCGTGTTTCTCCTGCGGAATCAGCTGGTAGTTTCGAACTGCTGACCTTGAGGTTAGCAGCTCGATTCATAACCACTGCGCTACCAGAGCTCCCTAAACATTTAACTAACTGGCATTAAATGCAAACCTTCTATAACTGTACTAATTTACATACAAATTCAACTTAAAGGCAGATTTAGGACTAGAATTTGTTTGTAAACCAGGAACTACCTGAATTACAAGGATAAGATTTTATAAGACTTTTAAGACCTATTTCTACTGTTTTTAATGTTGAAATTCCTGAATAAATAACTTTTATTACTGCTTTAAAAAAAACATGTCATGATTAGTGATTAAGGGCATAGGCTTTAGAGATATGCTAACTGATCTCAAATATTGACGCTAATCTTCACTTGCTGGTGTGACCTTCAGTGAATATTTTAACCACACTGACGTCAGTTTCTTTCTATGTACAGTAGGAGTACGAACCACCTGCTTTACATAGTTGTCAGGATTCAAGGAAACGGTGCTAGTACACTGCCTACCACAGACATAGTGCCTGGGACACATCAAAATGGAAGAATACCTCTGAAATCTCTAACCTTGGAGTCTCAGCAAATATTTTGATTGAATATTGTATTACCACACCTACCCAAGAAAGCTCTCATTAGATCTTTACAAGGTTGTAAAGGCTTTGTTAGGTTTTTGGACTCTTGGTTGAGGAGTGGGGAGGTCGGTTTTGTGATAGCTAAAAGGCCTATCCTTCACTTGCCTTTTTCATGATCTCACCTATTCAGCAGTAAGAGTTGGAGCCAAGAGGACAGAATGCAGTCTAGACATTCATTGGGCACTTGTTCTATACAAGCAGGTGACAGGGTGTGGCCTTCAGGAGCAGGCCAGTTCCCCAGACTCTCAGTGAGGTAGAGGAGAGTGACATGCTTGGTGAAACTTGCTCTGACAAGACAAACAGCAAATAGAGGCATTAGAACCAAGTGAAACTGCAGCTTCTTGTCAAAATACTAGCGCCGTGACCACACGAAATGCCTAAAGGGCCCATGAAATTCCCTGAAGCTGCACAGGTGGGCTTACGTCCTTCAGTGGTATAAACATCAGAGGGTTAGCCCTCTTAATCACTTCTAAGTTACGCTCTGGTGGGCAGTGTCTGAACCGCTAAAGGTGAGCTCCAGGGCAGCTTTGTCCCTGTGAGGCATACCTCTGAGGGGAGCACCAGCGTTGAGAAGTGAGTATGGTGGTCTCATATGCAGGGAGCCCCATAGGGTTAACACAGGGCCTCACCGGGTGTGTCTTGGGATGTGTGCTAGGGCTAGTTTGTCCTATCTCTTTGCTGAAAATCTTTGGATTTCTGTTACCTAAATGGGTCTTGTGCTTTTTTTTTTT